GAGAGAGAGAGAGAGAGAGAGAGAGAGGAATATTTATATATAAGTTGGTTAACTGCCGAGGTTGGAGACGAGGGGGCAACTGTGAGGTTACCGCGCGTCCGTCGGCAAACAACACAGACAGGAGAGAAGGGAAGTCGGCGACGCAACACGTGCACACGCAGGAAGGAAAGTAAGCGAAGGAGAAAAAAAAAAAAGGAATTGCGGTCTCGACACGATGGGCTGCTCCGGTTCGAAGGAAAAAAAGGCGCCTCCGGCGGCCCCCGCGCAGCCCGCCCCTGTCGAAAGGAAGGCGCCGCCGCCCGTTGAGGCACCGAAGGAGGTCGTCGTGGCGGTGAAGGAGGAGCCGAAAAAGGAGGCGGCGCCGCCGCCGTGGCTGTCCCGCCTCCTGCGGGTGGAGACGGCGAAGAAGTCTGCCTACAGGTATGTGAGGTGCGACGTGGAGGGCGCGGCCACCTCCTTCTTCCCCCCACGGGGACTCTGCTACCGTGTTGAGCAGGGCGACACATGGCTGCTGTACAACGACACACTGAACTACGAGATGCATGTGCGTTACCAATTTAGCCCGGACGCCAACGTTACTCCGCTCGGTCGCGCCACCGCGCAAAGCGAGGAGGACGGCTCGACCGTCGTCTCGGTGGTGGTCTATCCCCTCGAGACGGTGGAGTTCGTGGGCGGCGAGAAGGGAAGCTACAAGGCGGACGTGTCGGCCCAGGCCCTCTCCGACGAGTACCGGCAGAGCCTGCGGCTCCTCACCAGGGCAGCCACGGAGGAGCTGCAGCGCGTTTCGGAGCTGGCGAGCAGTCCCCTGGACGACGAAGCCCTGCTTTTGAAGTGCCTTGAAGCAACGACCCCGTACGTTGACCTCAGCTTTGCGCCCTCTGAAAGGATGTTCTGCCGTCCTGACGTAGATGGCCGCCTTATTCCGGCGACGGAGCTACGACGGGCGACGGAGTGCCACGGCGTAAACCCGAACGCAGTGGATGCCATCCGCGGCGCCGTCATCCCGCAGTGCGTTGACTCTGGGCTTCTTTGCGATAACTGGCTCATGTGCGCCGTGACCGCCCTGGCGGAGGATGAGGAGCGTGTCAAGGAGATGTTTGCGCTCTGCACCCCGGCGGAAAAGCGCTTGGGCGCGTATCGTCTCCTGCTCAACAAGAATGGCTGGTGGAAGCCGGTCCTGGTAGACGATTTTCTACCCACCGTGAATGCTGTGCCGTGCTTCGCACGCGTGCTGGATGACCCGGCGGAGTTGTGGGTGTCGCTGCTGCAGAAGGCGTACGCCAAGTTGCACGGGTCGTACGCCAGCATCACAGGCGGGGACGCCGCCCACGCGCTGAGGGACTTCACAGGCGCCCCGTCGTACCGGTTTGACGAGGCCTGGGTGGCCGCCGCCCAGCAGCGGGCGGAGGTGCAGGAGCTGCTGGACAAACTCACACGCCACCTCGAGGAGGGCAACATGGTCCTTCTCAGCACCCCCGCGGCGACGGGCGCCCAGGAGGGCGCACGCAACGGGCTGAGGGCCGGCTACACGTACTCCCTGAAGGCGGTGCGCCAGTTCCCAGACTCTGGCGTCACGCTGCTAAACCTTCGCAACCCGTGGGAGCCCGCGGAGCCGTGGACAGGGGAGTGGTGCGCGGGCAGCAGCAAGTGGGAAACGCACAAGGAGGTGCGCTCCGGCTGCAACCCGGACTTTTCTGTCAAGGATGGCTCCTTCTGGATGGAGTGGGCCGAGGCCGCCAAAGAGTTTGACGGATGCGGCGTCGTTTTCCTCTCGCGGAAGCCGGTGTACGACTACCGCGTGCGGGGCGAGTTCAGCCACGTGCAGCCTAGCGTCGTCTTCATGGTGCGTGCCGCCGAGCCCGTAGAGGTGATGCTCACTCTCACGCAGCAGGACAAACGGGGTGTACCGCTGGGGACGCCGGAGGCGAAGCTCTCGCCCATGATGCTCAGCGTTTCACGTGGCGAGGGTAACAAGCAGCGGGTGGACAAGAACAGCTCAGCCGACCCGGAGGCGCCCAGCGAGGCGTTCACCTTTGTCGTTGCCCGCGAAGTCGCCATGACCTACACCTTTGAGCCGAGTGCGGAGCCGTACTTTGTTGTCCCGCGCATCCACCGCAAGGGAACCTCGGAGGGGCGGCAGAAGGCGTTCGTCCTCGGCGTGCGCTCCGCCACGCCGCTGGAGGGCAAGCTGGACATCCAGTTCACCGAACTCGCCGCCACCAACCCCGTCCTGCAGAACCGCGTGCAGTTCGTCGTTGAGGACCCAGAGGAGGTCATCCGCCCGCTGCAGACGAAACTGCCGGGCGAGGCGGTGGTGACGAGTGCCGGCAGCAGGTTGTCCACGGCGACGATCCCCGAGCGGCCGCACACGGAGCCGGAGGAGGCGAAAAAAGAAGAAGCGGCGGAGGAGGAGGAACTGGCGGAGGAGGCTGCTGCCGGGAAGGAGGCGGCGGCGGCGGAGGTGGAGGACGCCAACGACAACCCGCCTTTGCCGCACGACGAGCAGGCGGAGGAGGAGCGCCTCAAGAAGGCGAAGATGAACGGCGCCGTGGACGCCGGCGAGGAGGGCGTGCACGCGGGGTAGCGTGGCGGCAGGGGCCAAAGAGGCGCGGGAGGGGCGGCAGCGCCACAGCAACGGACGGGCGCCGGCGAGGGGAAAAAAATACGGACCGCCGAATGATGTTCCCCCGCCCCCTCCCCTCGCAAAAACAAAAAAGAAGAAAAAATGTATCGAGGAGGTATAAATAAAGTAGCAAACGAAACAAAAAAGAAAAGAAAACGTGGGTGGTGGTGGGCGGAGGAAAAGAAAAACAAGGGAGGATGGTGTGGATGGGAGAAAAGTGACTAAAGAGGAGAAGGGGGCCGGGGCCTGCGGGCAGCTCCAGCGTGCACGCGCCGCTCGAGGGCCGCGTCGGGCTGCTTGGCGCACGTCTGCGGCGACGCGCGCGTGTGTCCCGCACGGCCTCGCGAAGGAAGAGAAGGAGGGAGGAGGGAGGGGGCGGAACACAAATGAAAACGAGCGAAACAAACCAAAAAGAAACCGGTGTGCGAATCGAGGAAGCGGACGTGGAAAAAAAAACAAAGGGTCGGGGAGGACTGGGAATTAGCAAGCAGGAAGGAATAAAGGCGGTCTAGGGGGAATGAAAAAAAAATAAATAAATGAAAAGAGAGGCAGATGCGCGCATGCAGGCGTACATGTGCGCCCCACGAAAATAGCAGAATAAGCAACGTAACAGCCCAACCAAAATAAGAGCCAAAAAAGACGAAGAAAAAAAAGATGTAAATGAAAAAAAAGGAAATGTAGGGAGCATAACTGAGGTGCCTTGGAGTTTGACACATCAAACGCGAAGGAAAAGGGAGGGCGCCATTAGTAGAGAGCCGGCTGCACGTTCAGCCACCGCAGCCTCCCGTCCCCGCACAGGCAGCAAGGCGGGGAATAGGGGGAACGAAGAAAAAAAAAGAAACGAAAAAAAAACACGATCTTGCCACAAATCTTCTTTTATTGCTTTTTTCCTTGTTGACTTGTTGACTTGATGACATTTTCATTTTTTGTGTAATGTGGAGACCGTGAGGCCATGAGAACCTTGGCGCCAGGAAGAGGAGATCCGCAGATTGAGAGAAGCGGGTGGGAAGAGAGCGAGAGCAGGGCGGGAAGGGGTCGGTAAGTCTGGAGGCGGCGATGTACAGAAACTGAGGGAAAAGCAGTTGTTTGCCGAGTCTGCCTTTCGAACGTGCATGATGGCGTTAATTGAGTTTGTGTGAATTTTGGCTTCTTTTGTGGCCACAAACTTCGCGTCCCCACTTCAGCGCCGCCGGCGGCGTGACTGGACTGTGGGCGGGCGCGGGGTGTGTGCCTGTTGCCGTCACCGCACATCTTCACACACGCACATCTTCACACACGGCTCCATGCGTATATATGTATAAATAAATAAACATATTTGCATCCCCCCGTGGTACTCCTCTTTTTGGCTTCTTCTTCACATTTGAGAGTTGTGACTTACGCCTCGTGTTCTTTTCTTTTTTTTTCCCGTCTGATGTCCGGTGAGGTCTTTTCCCTGCACATTTTTGTTTTAGACCCCTAACATATGTTTTTTTTTTCTGTGTGTTCGATTTCCGTCTCCTTTGGCCGCCGATGAACGTTCGTGTATGTAATTCCTGTACCAGAGCTGTTTTCTTTTTTTTCTTCTTCTTCTTCGTGTTTCCTTCGTCACTGTCGTCTTGTTTGCGGCGCTGCGTCCTCCCCCACCCCCCGGCTCTTCGTCTCTGTGCGCCTCCCGCCCGCCGCTGCGCCGCCCCCGTGGACTTCTCTCCCCGCGCTTCTGCCGCCCTTTCCCTCCTGCCGTGGCTTTAGGGACAACGACGGAGCGCACGCCTCGCCAGGCGGCGCTGCTTCTTTGGTCCCCGTGAGAAGCAACAACAACAGCAGCAGCAAGAAAAAAAATATGGACGACGGGCCCTGCGGCATGGACGCCGCGCTGCAAGACACATCGGTGGCGAACTGCCTGCAGCGGCACAAAGTGTGGAGGGCGGTGAAGTGGGGGACGCTCGCACGAGTTGCTCAACCGTTACGAAGCGGGCGCGCAAGGGGCAGATTTGCTTCTCCCGCACCGTGCCACCGGGAGGGCGGAAAAGGGCAGGCAACGCGGCGTTTGTCGACCCAGGCGGCCTAACGCGGCCGCTGTAACCACGCATCCCCCTCGCGTGTTTCTCTTGTGAGTCTCCCACAGGGGCTGACATCGCTTCTTTGCGTTCACAGGACTCTGTCACAGCCCCCCTTTCCTCTACGGTGCACGGAAACCGTGCTGTCAAGCTTAGCGTTTATTCGGCTAGGACAGAAGCAGGGGGCGACTGCGTTACCGTCGCATCTTTCTCACAGTTGGAAGTCCCGCGGCAGTGGTGGAAACTACTTTTCTCCATCGGAAGACATGCGTCAAGCAACGTGATTCCCCGATCTGCCCGTCTGACATAGTGGATTCCGTCAGTTTTCCACTTTTATGTGCGTAGTTGTTTGCACTCCGTTGCTTGATACTTTGTTTTGCACAGTCCATGGGCCTTTTTCAAGGCGCTTGTTGGCACTTTGCATCGGCGGCGCATGGACGGCCCGTGCCGCCACCGCAGCTCCCTCGTGTTTTTCTTTCCAGGCGTTCAATGTACGGAGTATCGTTTTTTGCGTCTCTTTTCCCCTCACTAGACTGGAGTGACCGATGAATTTCTTTTGCTTCTTCTTTGTTTTATGATTCTACTGCTGCTCGTGTTGAGGGGAGCTGCGGCGTTTCTCTGCTTTTTTTTTTGTCGTTGCTCTCCGTGTGCGTGTGTGTGTGTGTGTTGGCGTCCCCCGTGACTTACACCGGCGTGCGCGGCGTACCACGCAAACACACGCACACGCGCAGCAGGGCGAAGGCAGCGACAGTTGCGCGGCGACGCCACCCCCCTGCTGGGCGGCTCCCCTGCGAATGCGCCGGCTCCCGTGCACGGCGGCGACCGACTCCGCCGAGGAGAACGAGCGGGGCGTTAGTAACCTCCTGCCCGGCAAGTGGACGCCAATCCACCGCTCCAGCGCGCCCGCCGTCCGCCTCTCCGAGTGCACGCATCCCAGCATCGAGGAGGAGTGCACTGGCGTTTCGGGCGACGGTGAAGTTAACGCGCCGCGCGCGCCACAAAGCTCCTTGCCAACGACGATCGCCCTCCCGCAAGGGGGTGGTGCGGGCGGGAGCGACGTTAGGGCTGGCAGCGCACACGTGACGCGGCCCGCCGGGCCCGCCACACCCGCGAAACGGGGAGATGCCGTGCCCCCCAGTTGCCCCGCGCGGCGGAGCTCGGGCCGCACTGGCGTGGACTTCGCACCAGCAGTGCTGTCTGCGAAGGCGCTGCTCTCCCAGAACACGAGGGAAACGCTGCCAGGAAGTCCGCCGCTCGCATCGAGGTGCCCTAGTCCTCTCCGACTGCCGTTGTGTAACTCCGTGCTGGAGGAGGCGCAGCATGCAAGGGACCCGGCGCCAGCACAGCAGCCAGAGAAAGTGGAGAAGGGGTCGCAGGAGGAACACCTGCTCCCTGGCTCTTGCCGTCCCCAGCTGCGGCAGCAGCAGCAGCCATCATCATCGCCGCTGTCTCCCAATGCCGGAAAGGGTGTTGGGTTGGAGACCGAGGCACATCAGCACCGCCTTTCCTATCCGCCTCGTGGCGTGAGAAGGGGAGCTCTGATGCGCCGACCAAGGAGGCACCCTGCGGCGACTGTGTTTTCCACCGTAGACACGGTGGCCACGAGCGACAGCACCCCCACAACAGTTTCACTTCCGGCGCTGCAAGCACCGCTCAGAGAAACGCCGCGACCGCCCAACGCTCCCTTTTCCCCTGAAAGAAAGAAGGAAAAAGGCTTCTTGTCGGCGGTGCCCGAGAGCAGGTCACCGCCGTCCGTGGCGTCTGCCGAGAAGGCAAGCAAGAGTGTGTCTGTTGCGTCCGGCGCTGGCGCTGCTAGTTTGGCTCGGCCGGCACAATTCCCGGCTTTCGGTACTGCTCTTGAGGCAGGGTCCTCTGCGGTCAACGCTTCTTCAATTCTCCCTGCAGGAGGCAACGCCGTAGGCGAGGAGAAGCGTCCCGCCCCCAAGACGATGGGAATGGCCGCGACCAGAAAAAGGGACTCTGGACCATCACACATGACCTTAGCTAGTGGGACTCACTCTCATGCGGCTTCTTTAAGGCGTACCCCCTCCCGTGGTCGGCTGAGTCGGCTAGTGCAGCGTGTGTCGGACGCGGAGGTGCTGTATCTCATTCGCGAGCACGTTTATCGAAGCTACAGTGGCCCGCGGTGCGACGCCTTGATTGAACTCTGTGACACGCTTCTGAAGGAGCTTGAGGAGAGTCCAAGCGGGCGTGGTGTCGGCCGCGCGTCGGAGAGGGATGGGGCTGCCGCAGAGGACGATGACGGCGAGGGGGATGGGAAGAGTTCACTGGGCGCGGCTGAGGATTATTCTTCCGACGAGGATGAATTTGACGACGGCAAGATTAGAGAGACTGCGTACCCCACGAGCGACCCGCATCGGAAGTACTCGTTTGCCAGTCCCGCTGTTCAAGGGGCAACCACGCGCGTTTTCAGCTCCGGCATGTTGTACAAAATCAGGACGGAAAGTGGGGAGATCTTCTTTTTTAATGACACGTTGCAGTACGTCATGGTGGTGCGGGTGCGGTGCCAGCTCTGCGGCGACGAGACGATCGATGAGAAGGTGGTCCAGGCAGAAGTAGGCGGTGGCGAGACGGAGCTCACGCTGGCGGTCCCGCCAGAGGGAACCAGCCTTTTAATGCAAACTAGCAGGACGCTTCCGCGAGTGCGGGTGAAAGGCGTCAGACCACCAAAAGACTTTGCTGCGCCCTCTGTGCGGTACAACGTGCAGGAGATCAGTGCGGGGGTTGACAAGGTCCGGGAGAAACTGGGGCCCTGGGACCGCGCCGGGGACCAGAAAGCCTTTCTAAAGTGCTGCCTTAACAACGGACTCAAGTTCATCGACCTCCAGTTTCGTCCAGCTGCCGCCTCCTTGTGCCGTCCAGGGGTAGACGCTGTGACGCTGACCCCGCTGACGTGGCGACGCCCCGCTGGCTACTTGATGCTCACGGAGGTAAGTCAGGCACGCCTTTTTAGAAGAAATATCTCCTGCCAGCTGGTGCGCCAAGGCTCTCTGCAGGACCACACGGTGATTGCGGGCATTGCCGCCGTTGCCACGTTCCCCACGCACGTCCGCTGGATGTTTCGCCACCCAGTGAGCTCCGCGAACGGAAAGCGCGAGCGTGCCGCTGGTGCCTACCGTGTCACCCTCTGCATTGGCGGCTGGTGGACAACGCTGCTCCTGGACGACTACTTCCCGGCCTCGCTGAAGGCGCCCCTGTTTGCGAGGTGTGCTGTGGACCCGCGTCGCCTGTGGGTCTCCTTTTTGGAGAAGGCGTACGCCAAGGCGCTCGGGTCCTACGCGGCATTGTGCTCCGCCGACGCCCTTGAGGTGTTGACCGACTTTACCGGCTTCCCCTGCCGCAACTTGGATGAGTTGTGGTCGGAGGCGGCAAACAACCCTGAAGCCGCAAAGCTGCTCTATAAATATATTCATACCTGCGCCAGACGAAACTTCCTCGTCATGGTGTACACCGCCTCGCCCTTGACAAGCTCCTCTGCCTCTTCTCTTGAAATCACACGCCGTTTGTCCATGCGGTTTATTGGCTCCGCCGACGCGCTACCGCTCTTTTTGCCCGGCCACGTCTACTTTATCACCGAGGCGCTCTACTACGAGGACTTGGACCTCTGCATGGTTCGGCTGAAGAACCCGTGGACCTGGTGCGCGGCTGGTCAGCCGCAGACGCGAACCAAGTGGAGGCGTTCCAAGTGGTTTGAGCAGCCAGAGAGCAGCCTGACAATGGGCGCCGTCGGCGGAGCCACGCCGCAGGCAAAACGCGAGGATGGCGGTGGAAGTAGTGAGACCGCGTTGAGGAAGAAGGAGTTGGGAACGATGTGGCTGGAGTGGTCGGAGGCGCTCGCTTCTTTTGAGGGCGGCGGCGCCTGCTACACCCTCTGGAGCTGGCACGACTACCGCGTCCAAAGCCGCTTTCGTCAGCACGTTCCTGCCGTCGTTCTTGAGGTCCGAGTTGGCAGAAAAGTGGAGGTTGTCCTGACGCTGTCGCAGGAAAGCCGGCTGCGGCATCTCGGCACCGCAACGACGCCCCCGTATAAGGCAATGCTTCTCTTGGCCTCGCGTCACGTGGCGGCGTCGAGGACGGAGGCCCTTGCGTACACGAGCTCCGGGGATATTGAGCGCCCGGGCGGCAAGATGGTCTACTGCGCGGCACGCGACGTCTCCTTGAAGTGCAGCCTTGAGCCCAAGCACAGTCCGTACTACGTGATCCCGCGGCTGCAGAGCCCCGACGGCCAGGAGGAAACACCGTTCGTTGTCTCCCTCCTCTGCGACGTGGTGGTCGGGGGTGAGGAGGCCCAAGTACACTTCCGCCGCCTGGATCCATCGTGCCAGGTCTTTCAGGATCCGCGATGCTTCACGGTGAGCGCGGAGCTGTGCACACCCGTCACTGCCACCTACCAGCACCGCACACCCGCGGGTGTATCTACTTGCGTGGGGCAGTGCATCAAGCAGTGAAACAGGCGTTGTGCGACGGGCGTGGTTGCTGACGCTCAACTCGCGCTCTCCGCGTCGTCTGCGTTCTGCGCCAGCGTGAGGCGCGCACACCCGCATGCGCCTTCAGGCTAACGCGGCGGCTGGGAAGTCGCACAATTGCTATTCTTGCTATTATTATTATTACTATTATTATTTACGGCTTCAGTGGATGTATTTTCATTTCTGTTCCCCCCTCCCCCTTCCCTCTGTGTGTGTTTTATGAGCTTGTGTCTGCTGTTTTTTTAAAAAAATATTTCTTTATATTTTTTTTGTGTGTATTTTGCTTGGACCACCCCCTCTTCCGCAACGCCGCCTGATGGGCGCCGCTGCCTGCTGCTGTCCCCCGTCGCCTCGCTGGCGGCGTGCAATACGGCGCTTCTGCTTGAGGCTGACGCGGGCGCCGCCGCAGGCGCCCCACCCCACGCACGCACGCACGCACGCACGGAAAGGGGCGGGGAATGTTGGGGAGGCGCGGGTGTTGCGGCGCACATCGCGCCCCCTCCCTCCCCCTCTTCCTCCGCACGCTCCCACTCGCGCACTTTGTGGCACGCGTCTCCTCCTGCCTCTACTCCCCCGCGTAGGTTACCGCACACAGCCGGCACGGTTTCTTAGAGGGACTGTGCGTGGAAGCAAAAGCAACAGCAACAGCAACAACCTCAGCCGCTGGCCAGGCCGGAGGCAATGAGCCTGAGCGTCGCGATGGACAGCTCGTACCTCATGCCGTTTCCCACCGACCTGCAGCCGATGGAGGAGGACGAGCTGCGTGCCGTGGCCGTGGCGACCCCGCTGCCCGACCTCCTCCCGAGAAGCTTCGACGAAATTCAACGCATGCGACGCATGCGGAAGGACGCGGAGAGCGGGAAGAAGTACGTGCCGCCCCGTCACGACTTGCCGCCGCCGTACGTCAACGACGACGAGTGCGACGAGTTTGAGGACGCGACGATCAGCACGGCGCTGGAGAACTTGTCGTGGCTGACGCCGAGCCAAAAGTACCACCTGAAGGGCCCTGGCGTGGAGGGGGACGTGTCGTCCATGTTCGACAACGGCATGCTGTACAAAATCATCGTCGACGACGGCTCATGGTACCTCTACAACGACACTGAAAAGTACGAAATGCATGTGCGGTTCCGCTTTGGCGCCAAGTCGGAGTTGCAGCCCGGCGAGCGCGTGGACATCTTCGTGAAGAGCAACAAGGAGCTCGAGGCCTGCCTCATCGTCTACCCGCAGGAGACGCTGAGGCTTATCTCGGGCAAAGTGAACGGGTTCAAGTGCATGGCGAAGGCCGTGCCACTGAGTGACGAAAAGCGAGCGGAGCTCTTCTCAGATGCGAACAACGAGGCACTGGGGACATTGTCTCGTATGGCAAATGAGCTGAACGTTGACGGCGTGAACGCGTTGGAGGAGGGAGAAGTCCTTCAGCACTGCATTGCGCATGAGGTGCCGTACGTTGACTGCGGCTTCCCCCCATGTAACGACTCCCTGTACCGCCAGGATGTCGACAAGTACAAGGTGCGCCTCCTGCCCTGGGTGCGTCCGGACGCGTTTATTCCAGGCGAGCAGCTCAAGGAGGTGCGCCTCTTTCGTCGCGTCATTCTTCCCTCACACGTGACACAGGGCGAGATTGGTGACAGCTACCTAGTGTCCGCCATGGCCGCCCTCGCCGAGTCCAAGGACAGGGTTCACGACGTCTTTCGCCACCCCGTCAGTGCCGCGCACGGAAAGGCGGAGCGGGCCCTTGGCGCGTACTGGGTGACGCTGAACTACAACGGCTGGTGGTGTCCCGTGCTGATTGACGACTACTTGCCGGGGTACCGCGGGGGACCGGAGTTTGCGCGGTGCGCGATTGACTTGCGCCGCATGTGGGTGGGGCTGCTTGAAAAGGCCTACGCGAAGATCCACCGCTCCTACTCCAACATCGCCAGCGGCGACCCCCTTGAGCCGTTGCAGGACTTCACTGGCTTCCCCATCACCCGCTTTGACCTCCTCTGGGAGGAGGCCTTGAAAGGTGACGAGGTCCTGTTTAAGCGCATGATCCTCTACGACAAGAAGGACTTCATCACGATGCTCTACACCCCCCGCAACGATGCCTCGGACGGCCAATTCGCGAATGAATCCACTAGCAATGCCCCGACGGATCTGGAGAATCGCTACAAACAAATGGGGCTGCAGCTGCATTGCGGCTACACGGTCCTGCGTGTGCGGTACTTTGAGGACTTTGATCTCCGCCTGGTGCAGATGCGCAACGCCTGGGGCACGGGCGAGGAGTGGACGGGCAGCTGGGGAAAAAACGACAAGCGGTGGGAGAAGTACCCAAGCGTCAAGGCCGTCTGCTTCCCTGACGGCGCCAAAGTCACGGAACTCGACCGAACCTTTTGGATGGAGTGGAGAGACGTCCTGACAACCTTTGTCGGCGGCGGCGTGTGCCACGTGAAGCGCAACTGGTACGACTACCGCATTCGTGGGGAGTTTAACGACGGCCACCCGACGGTGTGTCTCGAGATCAACGTTGCGGACCCCGTGGACGCGTACCTTGTCCTCTCCCAGGAGGACGAGCGCGACGGCGACGGGCTGGAGTACGCGGCGATGCTCATCAGTGTCACCCGCCACGGTGGCAAGAATGAGAAGATGGACTGCACGAGCACCGTGGATGTGGAGGAGTCCGACCGCCAGCTCAGCTTTAACTTTGCCCGCGACGTCGCGCTGCGCTACACCTTTGAGCCGCAGGGCAACCCGTACTTTGTCTTCCCTCGCATCCACGACAACTTCATCTCCCAGCCGTACGTCCTTGGCTTGCTGATGGACACCTACGCCGGGAACGGGATCCGGGTGGAGTTCAAGGCCATTGACCGCGACTGCAAGGTCTTCCAGAACATGCCCAGTTTTTCGGTGAAGGGCATGACGAGGGACGTCAGCGCGGAGTATCAGATTCGCACCCCGCGGCAGCCGATGGAGTGCATGGGGGCGGAACTGAAGGATGAGCGGCTCAAGGAGTTCGGCATCTACGAGGCTTAGAGGCTGCAGCGGTGCAGCGTCATGTGTGAGGCCCCTGAGAGGCCAGCGGGACCCCGAAGAAAAAAAAAGACGTGAAAAAGAAAAAATAAGCAATGTGCATATATATACACACATATAATAATTGTTATGACATCTACGCCAAGAGGGCCGCGTGGAGGTGAAATGCGAGGGTGGGGTATGGCGCGTGCCAGCAATGGTGCCGGGCTTCTTTTTTTTTTTTGAGTGGGGCGGACGAACGCTGAAGGGCGGGGAGTACGGAGGTGCACAGGGCCTCTCGCGCCCACTTTCCGTGTCGTCGCCGCCCTCGCCAGGCATCGACTGCAAGGGAGGAGCGATGTAGGCCCAAGAGTGCACTCCCCGCGGCAGGCTCGTCTCACACGCCCATAGTCTATTGTTATCTGTATTTGTGTGTGGTCCCCCCCCTCCACTCCTATTATGTACTTTTCTGCTGTTTTGCGGTTTTTGTTTAACATCTCCTCTCGCGAACTCTTCATCGGGGGCCGGCTTAGGCCCCCCGCAAATACCCTACTGTTCATCTATTCCTTTATCTATTTCTGTATCTCTCGGCGCGCGTGCATCTCAGTGCCTTCTGGTGCGTTGTTTTTTTTTTTGAGTGATTCACCGTGCGTTTATATGCGATTATTTTTTTGTTGTTGTTATTTTTAGTTTGTTGTGTCGTTCTCTTGACTCCACTCAACGTGGGCGTCGCAGCTCACATGCCCCGGCGCCCAGGCTTTCAGCGTGAACGTAGGCGGTACGTCTGACATCTTCTGTATTGCTGGGCAATCACCGCCCCGCCTGCCCCTTTGGGTGGGTGTCTGCGTGTCTGTGTGTGTGCGGGTGTAGAGGGAGGGAGGGGGGCGTCGTGTTTTTTTTTATGCCCAAGTGTTAAATCGTGTGACGCGCGGCACTTCTGCAACGCCGTGAGTTTCATGTTTTTTTTGTTTTTTATTTTGAGCGAGATAGAGAGAGAGAGAGGGGAGGGCAAAAAAAAAAGTAGATTTGTAGAGTACACAAACACAAAAACTGTGCCCGCGCCGAGAAAAACCGCTCATGTGCATACTTTCAGTCCGTGTGTGTGTGTGTGTCTATGTGATAGCAGCGATTCTTATAGTGTTAGTATCTGTATTTGTAATATTTCAACTTTCCCTTTGCGTCTCCTTCTCAAGGCGGAGTGGTGCAGTTGGTACTTGGGCGGTGGTACGTTTTACCCGACACCCCCCTCCCTCATTTCCTGTGGGGCAGTCACGTGCAGCACGAGGATAGCAGGCGCGCGGTGGCTTTTTGCTCCCCTCGGCGCGGGCTTTGTTATTTCCAGTGCGTTTCCCCCCCCTGCAGCGGCACACATAACGGCGGCAGGGCGGGCCGCGTTCACGGAGGGCGTTGAGGCGAGCCACCACGCCGCTGGTGGGAGAGGTGTGAGTGAAGCGGGGGACCAGAAACTGTTGGCGGTGAGTAGGAAATTCACCGTGGGGCCAGGAAGCGGGGGAACTGATAGAAAGACGCAGCGAAGCCCCAATCTACTCGAGGGGTGCGAGCTGCGAGGCAGACCGCGAGAGGAGAAGGGGCTGGGGGAAAGAGAGGCGGCGCCCCGCATGGGACCGGACTATACATACATATATGTGTATATATATATTGTCTATTTCCTTTTTTGTTTGTTTGTTTGTTTGTGGCTTTGTTTTTTTTTGTTTTGTTTTTTTGTGCGCCTGCGTGGAGTGCCGCCGACGACTCCAGTGGGAGGTGGCGAGTTCCTCGCGGCTGCGGCTGCGGCCGCGGCTGCGTTGTTGCGCTGCCCGCCTGCTTCACGAAGTGCCATGACGCCCGCCACGAAACCCCTGCTTTTCTGCCTCGCCACAGCCCTCTCTCTGCCTCCCCGTGAAGGCGCGCAGGTGCGGCGCCGCACCCCCCGCGGAGGAGCACGCACAACCCCTACATCGCCGTTTGCTCGGTCGTGCTTTGCCGCTTGCGCGCGAGTTGTGCGCGTGAATGTCCGCTGCCGAGGCGCCGCGGCCACCGGGAGTGCCTGCCGGTTACCGTGACAGGCTCGTGCATTTTTTCCAGCGGCATGATGCGACCAAATTGAGGCGTGTCGATGCCCTGCTGGAGAAGTACGCCGGGAAGGAGGAGAGACTTCTGCATGCGTTGGCCCAGACGTACGCATCACGGCCGCCGCGGCCTGAGGCTTCCCCTGCGGACCCGCCGGCGCGTGGCCCGCAAGAGGAGTGTCCTCCGCCTGCTGAGGGCCACGGGGAGTGCCGGGCGGCCGCCGCGGCGCTTCCCGATGCAGACCAGCCGCCGCCGTCGACAGCACCCGCGGAGCGAGACGATTACAAGCGGCGCCTCACGTCATTTTTTCTTCTCTACGACTCCGCAAAGGTGCCGCACGTCGACACTCTTCTCCGCAAGTATCGTGGGAGGGAAGCGGGGGTGATGGAGTCGCTTGTGCGTCGCTTCGGCCCTGAGCCTTCGAACCTCAAGGAGCCCCCTTCTGCGGAGGAGGCGGAAGAGGTGTCAGTTGTGGCGCCCATCAGCGACGCGGCGCTTGCCGCGCGCTTGAGGCGGTTCTACGCCCACCACGACGCAAAGGAGCTGCAGGGCAGCCACGTGGATGAGCTGGTTCACAACTTCCGCGAGGCGCCAGAGGCTCTGTTCGAGGAGCTAACACAAGTGTACGGGCCAGAGCCGGCGGAGGCGGAGGCGGTGCCGCAGCCGCAGCCGCAGCTGTCAGCGGAGGCCAAAGGCGAGGCGCTCCGCCCAGCAGAGAGTTCCGCGACCCTGGCGCCGGATGGGTCCGTGACTGATGTCGGCCCCACTTTGAGTGGTAGCACAGTTCTGTCAGCTGCAACTGCGGAAAAGAGTCCGCGGGCGGTGGATGTCTCGGCCTTTATCAGTCTGTTCACCGCCGAGTGGTGCCCGACAGAAGAGCAACAGGCAGATGCTTCACGGCGCCTTGACGCGTTCTTTCATCCAGGCTCTGCGCGGCCATCATGCCAAGCCGCACAGCGTTCGCCATTTGCGGTAGCAGCCGAGGCCAGTTTGGACCCGCACACGTGGCTGCCGCCCGATGCGCCCCAAGAAGAGCTGCAGCGGTGGCGAGAAGACAAGCTTCTGCTTCCTGATCGTCTTGCATGGCGAAGGCGTCAAGCGTCGAGGCGATGAATATGCGACAAGAATTTGTCGTTGCGTCTTCTCCTGTATATTTATTTATTTCTGTCTGCGTATGCATTCCTCGATAGCTTTGTATTGACTTTAACGGTTTTATAGGCCGCCGCAGCGCACTGCTGCGGTTCATTCCCTGCGACTAGCCCCCACATGCATCCCGTTATCCATACGCATTTGCATGCGTCTGCCGTTACGCGCGGAGGTGGATACCCTGGCCTATCTGTCTGTAGTGCGTGCATCGCATCCTGTTGCACTTTCCTTCTCTCCTTGTAGCTCCCATAGGCGTGACGCAGAGATAACATCTTGTTATATTTACGAGTGCTGACTGTTTGGTTTACCGACACACGGCATGGGATCCTTCCTCTCTAAGACCCCAGGGAAACCGTCGAACGGGCCGTCGAGGGGAGTTAAGCCTCCTGATGCTGCTGCACCTCCACCTCCAGCTCCACCTGGCGAGGTTACTGCGGCGGGGGCGCAGGCGGGAAAAGAAGTGGCTCCCTTTGAAGCACGCATTCGCCGTTTTTACACGCACTACAAACCGGAGAAACTCGAAAATGTCCCGAGGATTCTGCGCGAGTGGGACGGGACGGAGGAGGAGTTGATGCAGATGCTGGTGGAGCGCTACGGCCCAGAGCCAGCGGCTGCTGAAAATCCCCCCATAACGCCACCAAAAGCGGCCGCCGCGGAGGCCGCAAACATGTGGGTGCCGCGTTTTGCGCGGCATCTTCTGGCGTATCGACCCGGAAAGCTGTCGCGCCTCGGCAGGATGCTGCAGCATGCGGAGGGCACAGAAGAGGCGATGCTGGTGTCTCTCATCGAGCAGCTGGGGCCGGAGCCGGAGGGGCCGCTTCCCGATCTTGTGCCTGACACCGTGCTCGTCGTCCGCGGCGAGGTGCCGACGGAGGCGGCCGAGTCCCAAGTGGCGGAAGAAGGCACGGCGGAGGAGAATAATGTGGCCCCGACGCACTCCTTCAGGCGCCGGCTGAGCAGTTTTCTCGGTGTGCGGGCCCCCGAGAAGTTGTACACGCTGGAGGAGTGCCTCCGCCAGCATGCCGAAGACGAGGAGGGACTGTTGGCGACACTGCGGGAGAAGCACGGTGCGGACCCGACGGAGGAAGAAGCGCAGGCGTACTTTACGCAGCGCCTCGAGGCACTGTACGCGTGCCACGAACCAAGCAGAGTCACCTCCGCTGCGGGCGAGATTGCGGCACAATACGGCAAGGAGGAGGAGTTCTTGCAGGCGGTGGCCAACGAGATTGGTGCCGACCCCATGATGGTGCCACCGCCTGCCGAGGCACATGCGCATCTTTTCGAGTATGCCGACGCGAAGGAGGCGGAAGCCCCGTTGCACGAAGCAAGCAGCCCTGAGCAGCAGTGCACACATGCCCAGCAAATGGAGGCGGAGGCGCTGCAGAGCCTTGAGGTTTCCCGGCCCGAGAATGCGAGCAACCACACGGCTGGTGGACCACCCGACGAAGCCACTCTCCCTGCCACCAACGCGCCGGTCGTGAATGCTGAACCACCCACCGCTACCGCCCCGGCGCCGTTGCAGACGAGCTCAGGGACGGAGGGCAGCTTCAAGCATGTGACGGAAACGTTTCGTCGCATTATGGAGGGGCAGCAGCAGCAGATTTCAGCACTTCAGGCGGACCTAGATCGTATTCGCAGCATCATGGAGGGGGAGTTTCATGTGCTCTCACAGAAAGGCCCTCTGTTTACCCCACTGACTGTGAGGGAGCCGGCGGGCCACGCCTCCGTGCCCTCCCCCTACCCCGCACCGCAAAGCCCGCAGAGGATTCAACGCCTCAACGGTGCCAGCTGCGGCATTAATAAAACCACCTCGCTGGGTCGCCAATTGTACCGTCATGATTCTCTTGACGGGCTCCTCCCACCTCCGCCAAGGCTCCGCCCACCTCGTGATGCTTCCCAAGCCACTCGAGCGCCCACAGTCAAAGCTCCATCACTGTTTGTGTTTCGCTGCTCGTCGTCCCCGCGACAGGTGCGGACACTCGCAGAGATGCGACTGGAGTATGAACGGGAGCGCGAGGGCATCCGTTCCGCAGAGAAGCGGCTGCAGGGTTGCAGCGTGATCCTGTAGGCGCCTTGCGCGTTTCTGCAGAAGGGGAATACATCTCTGAATTTGTGCTATCGTACCTGAGGGACTCGTCCAGTGGAATCAACTCTCCCCCTTGCGTATGGTACGCCGGGTGACTCCGGAGTTGACGCAGAAGGAGGTATTTTCATTGGGCCTTCCTCTTTGTTTATTTTTATCCTCTCTGACTATCAGTGTGTCTGCTTAGCTCTACTTTTATTTGATAGTTTAGTTTTTCCTTTCCCTCTCCCTCTCTCTCTCGCTTGCTTGCCTCGCACTGGGTGAATGGTTCTGCTGTACTTGCCATTGTGCTCGCGATTGCTTGTCGTCGCCGCACCCCACTGCTGCGTTTCGCGCAGTTTGCGGCGCGGAGGGTGCTCGTTTTGCATTGACCTTGGTGTGGGGTGGTTGCCCCGCGGTGCGCGCGCGGGCGTTGCCTCGTGCGCGCTGGCTGCAACCCACCGCCACATGGCGGCTGCAACTGCGTCACTCACTCGCTTCCTCTTTAACTTTTTGCCTCTTCACCGTGATGGAAGGCGCATGAATGCGGCCCCCTTCCCGCGTGAGGGGGCGTGGCAAAAAACTGATGCACCAATCGGCGCGCCCGAGACGCCTGCGCTCAAAGTTGGTCTGTCGCGTTTCTGCAGCGGCAGCGCCTCGTTCTCAAGGACGCGTACTTCACGTCTACTGTCCCCCCTCACAGGAAGTGTGCCTGGGCGCAGGAAGAGAATGTGGTGCCACGTATGAGCCCTTCAGTCCGTGGCTCTGCGCAAGTTAGTGGGGTACACGTTGTACACCGCTGCCTCTCTGTGAGCGCAGGACGTGCTGCGCATATTTCCTCCACCCGTACATCACGTCTACGCCTCCACCGTTCAACGGCAACAGTAGGTCCCCTCGTTTATTTATTTACTCCTTCTTTGCTTCTCTCCTGCCAAGGACGGTTCCATCGGTGACGTGGATGTGAGATGCATGTGACTGCTTACCCTTCAGCTGCCCTGACCTCAGGCCCCTAAAGTTGCCAGACTATCACTCATGAGACAATGATATTTATGCCTCGCTCTATACATCCATCCTCCACTTATTCTCCCTGGTTGTTGTTGTTGTTCCTTAATACTTTAGGACCCCCATACCCCAAGCAGCCACCGAAAATGAACGACGAGCCCCAAGTTGCAGGTATCGATGACCCGCTAAACGATGGCGTGGAGCTCCTCGAGGTTGCCAAGAACCCAACAGGCTATTCCAAGCTTGAGGCCGTGGACCGCGTCAAGGTTCGCATTGACAGCTTAAACCAAGAACGTGCGGAACGCGTTGCCAGACGACGGGAGCCAGATAGTACCCTCAAGCGACTACTGCACCGCATTATACCTTACGGAGGCATTATTTCGTCCGGCTGCAACCTTGCCAGCTCGTCGCTGGGTGCTGGAATTCTTGCCCTGCCGTACGCCTTCAACAAGTCCGGACTGGCGATGGCGTTGGTGTACCTTGTGGTGATTGGCATCCTGACCGTTTACTCCTTCACCCTGTTGGGCATCGTTGGAAAGCGGACGGGGCTGCGGAACTATGAGCAGATTACAAAATCCCTTATGGGGACGGGCGCAGACTATTTTTTAGCCCTCAACATGTGGCTTATCAGTTTTGGTGCTGAAGTCTCCTATGTGATCTCCATGGGAGACATTATTGGTGCTTTCATTAACAGCTCTCCCGATGCCCCTGCGTACCTCAAAACCCTCTCCGGTCGTCGTCTGTTGACGAGTGCTGTGTGGATTGTTTTAATGCTGCCACTGTGCCTGCCGAAGGAGATCAATTCCCTGCGCCACATCTCAGTCATCGGGGTTCTCTTGGTGATCTTCTTTGGGATTTGCATGGTTATTCATTCTGCACGCAACGGCCTTGCTCATGGTATTCGTGATGACCTGGTTTACTTCCAGACAGGCAATCAAGCAATTCAGGGACTCTCCATTTTTACCTTTGCCTTCCTGTGCCAGCTGAACGCGTATGAGGTCTATGGGGAAATGTACAAGCCAAGTGTTGCCCGATTTACAAAGAGCGCCGGACTTGGTGTATTTCTCTGCTTCTCGCTTTACTTTTGCTCCGGGTTGTTTGGCTACCTGGAATTTGGCCCGGCGCTGACAGGCACTGTCCTCGAGCGGTACAACCCGATTGCGGATAAAATGATGGGTGTGGCGTACGCTGGTCTTATATTGAAGCTTTGCGTTGGGTACGGGCTGCACATGATTCCCGTGCGGGATGCAGTCTACCACGTGATTCACGTTGATGTGAAGACCATAGAGTGGTGGAGGAACAGCCTCGTTTGTGGATCCATGGCAACGCTGTCACTCATTGCGGGTCTCCTCATTCCGAGCATCACGATTGTGTTTGGCCTGGTGGGAGGGTTTTCTGGCGGTTTCATTGGCTTCATCTTCCCCGCCCTGCTGTACATGTACAGCGGCAACTGGACGCTGCAGTCGGTTGGGTACCTGCACTACTTTGGCACGTACCTTCTGCTGCTGGTTGGCGTGATTGGTGTCGTGTTCGGGACCACGTTTGCCGTCTACGGGGAGATTATTGCCTGAGAACCGTTGTGGCCTCCCCGTTTAAAGCCCCAATTGCGACGTGCCTAAGTTAAACCTCATTTTGGTTTTTGTTTTTACAGTAGGATTTTTTTTGTCTTGTTTTCCTTCTCTCCCTGCGATTTATCAACGATTACCTAATGTTGTATTTGCTATGACTTCTTTGTGGCTTTGTTTTTTTTTATGCCTTTCCTTGATTGTCGCTGTCAGCGCAAAGTGTGGAGCGGTGCTGAGGTTCATTAGTTGTTCTCCCTTCTCCCACACTTTCCTGCACTTTGCCTTTTGTGTTTTTGTGTGGTGTGCCTCTGCGTTGCTGCATGAACGGTATTATATCATTATGGTGCGTAGGGGACCATTTTTTTCTTCTTTTTTTCTGCACAAAACTTTTCGGGGACCGGCATGAGAACGATTTTTTGTTTTTGTTTTTGTTTTTAGCGGATAGGGACGAGTTGTGTTTTACGGCCTTGCCGCTTTTATGGCTTTCTTGTGTGTTTTTTTTCGTTTTTTTTTTCGCGTATGCCCCTCGCCATGGCGGCGTACGCAGTTCTTTTTTCTCGAAAAAAAAAAAATTGTGTCTTTCATCCTCGTAACCGCCGCCGCCTCTCACGAAGAGGCGGCTGGTGACTGCGGGGCCCTGATGGCTGCCACTTCGTGTGCGCACAAGCGGAACTGGTCCCCGTGGGGGCTCCACTGGCTCGCCTGGGCGTGGGCCTTGGCGGAGGAACCCCCGCTGAAGTAGCGGTGGGGGCGCTGGGCGCCTTCACCCACACTCTGGTTCTTTTTTGCTTCCTCCCTCTTTTCTTTCCTTGTAGGAGGATGGGGCACGGCCCCCGCCAGGCGCCCAGCCTTTGGCCGTGCCTGGCCCAGGACGCTGTTAGGGTAGCGGCCTTGTTTCCGCCTCAGTGAGGTGCGTGGGACGCGGCGTGCCCAGTCGGTGGCGTGAGAGGAGTTGTTGCGGGGCCCTCCTGCTGCACGCTCTCTGCCGCCCGTCTCATCTGCCCCGCTCTCGTGCGATCTGTTGCCTTGTACTTTTGTCGTTGGTCGAGTGCCAACGCCTCCGCGTGGGAGGGTGGCAAACAGACAAGGCCGCCACTATTCTCGTGGCCTGAATGCTTCCGCTCCGGCCTCGCTTTTTTTTTATTGGGGTTTTGTAGCTCGCCACGGGCCCTTTGCCTTTTGCCTCTGCAGGTTTCACTTGTGTCTCTGGGGAGGTGCGCCTCGCGTTGGCCTTCCGTGGACGCTTTTTTTTTGTATTTGTCATTCTTGCGGCCCGGCGCTGCCATTTTGTCCGCCTTGCCGCTTCGTCGTGTCTATGGCGGGCGTAGGTTGCCGTCGTCCACCGTGTGCGCGAGGATGCCGGAGGCGTACTCGGGCGTCAGCATTGTCTTTGTTTGTTTGCCTCTTGGGCGCACACCCGCACCTGGCGCGGCGAACGGTGCTGTGTGTGACAGCCGCAGCTCGGGGACTCTGCCGCAGAACGGGGGGTTCGACGTGTATGCAGCCACGGCACTCTGCGGGCACCGCAGGCGGTGAACACAACTCTTCCCACCTCCCTGGTGGGTCTGTCGTTCACGCTGTAGCCCACCGCATCGGTGGAAGGGCTTTCGGCGTTGCGCGTGTGTTTCTTTTGGGGCTGACTCTTGGGACTGGCCGTGACGTTGTTTTATGTTGCCTCTCACGTCGTGCGTAGCTGTGGGTTGATTGGGATGCCTCAGCCGGCACGCAAGCCTCTGCACCTCCTTTCGTTTTTTTTGTTTTTGCCTTAAAAACAATTCTTCTTCCCCCTTTGGACGTGTGCCAAGTAGCAAGTCGCGTGAGCGAGCTCCAGAGTGGAAGTTGTCAAGAACCCGCCTGTCGCACGGTTCTATGCGTGAGGTTCCAACCCCAGGCGCGCGGGAGCCGAATGAGAGCAGCGACAAGGACCCGCTGTTCGCGGAGCAGGAGTTGGCGGCCCTCGGCAGCGCGGAATGCGGCGGGGAAGTAAAGGCGGCGGTGGCCCCAGCGGCCTTGTCGCTTGCGGAGCGGCGGCTGAAGGAGCTGAATGAGATGCGAGCGGAGCGTGTGGCCAGGCGCCGCAACCCCGAAAACATTTTCCTGCGGGCGATGCATGTAGTTATGCCCTACGGCGGCATCGTGTCCTCCGCCTTCAACCTCGCCAGCTCGACGCTTGGCGCCGGCATCGTCGCGCTGCCCGCCGCGTTCCAAATGTCTGGGATCCTCATGAGTGTTTTGTACCTCCTCCTCGTGGCGTCGATGGTGGTGTATTCCTTTGTGCTGCTCACCATCGTCGGCGAGCGGACGGGGCTGCGCAGCTACGAGAAGGTGACACGGCTGCTGCTGGGCCGCGGCGCAGACCATCTCTTGGCGGTTCTCATGTGGCTCCTCTGCTTCGGCGGGGACGTGTCGTACGTCATCTCCATGCTGGGAATTATTGGCGGGTTCGTCAACAACTCCGACTCCGCGCCGGAGTACCTGAAGACGCTCTCCGGCAACCGACTGCTCACCGGCATTGTGTGGCTCTTCCTCATGCTTCCGCTTTGCCTGCCGAAGGAAATCAATTCGCTGCGCATTGTTTCCACCATCGCCGTCCTGTTCATTGTCTTGTTTGTCATCTGCATCGTCATACACGCGGCGCAAAACGGCCTTAAGCATGGGGTGAGGGATGACATTGTGTTCTTTCAGACCGGCAATCAGGCCATTACCGGGCTCTCCATTTACCTTTTTGCCTACGTGAGTCAGGTAAACTGCTATGAGGTCTATGAGGAGCTGTACAAGCCCAGCGTGAGACGCATGACGAAGAGCGCCATTGGGGGAACGCTGCTCTGCATGGTCTTGTACCTCGTCGCTGGTGTGTTTGGGTATTTGGACTTTGGCCCCGCGGTGACCGACTCCGTGCTTGTGCTGTACAACCCTGTGGAGGACAAACTGATGGGGGTCGCCTACGCCGGCATCATCCTGAAGCTCTGCGTCGGCTACGGCCTCCACATGATTCCCTGCCGCGACGCCCTCTACCACCTCCTCAACCTCGACGTGAGGTCGATGCCGTGGTGGAAGAACTCGTTGATCTGCTCCACACTGGCGTTCACCTCCCTCATGGCCGGCCTCTTCATCCCACGCATCACCACCGTCTTTGGGTTGCTTGGCTCCCTCTGCGGTGGCTCCATCGGCTACGTGTTCCCCGCGCTAATGTTTATGTACTGCGGCAACTTCAACCGCCGCTCCGTCGGATGGGGGCACTTCATTGGGGCGTACCTGCTGCTGCTCGTTGGCGTCGTCGCCATTGTCTTTGGCACCATTGCTGCCTTCTACGCCGAGCTGAGTGCCGTCTAGCTGTGCCACCCCGCTCCACAGGCCACTCTCCCATTTAGCCCGTCCTTCCGGTTGGCTGCGAGGGAGATCTTCCTCTCACACAGTCTATACGTATGACCGAACTTTTTATGGGCTTCGTTATTTACCACACCTTCTTCTTTTTTTTATTTTGTTTTATATATACATATGTATTGCCCTGAGCCGTGTGCAGTGTGGCGAGCCTCAGATTGAGTTTGCAGATGCGTCGTACCCCGTTTTGCCTTCTTTTTTTTTCTTATTGTTGTAATGATATTTATACATGCCCCTCCACGCATTGACGTCTCGTTCATGGACGTCGGCTGTAATTAACACAAAGGAGAGGCCCTGTGTGCTTGTTACTGGGCCACTTTCTTTCCTTCCAGCGTTGTACCGCTCCGAGCGGCACATCTGGGGGTACTTCACTGGCGCCGCTGGTACGCCTGAAGGCCCTGTGTGTTGGTTTTGTGCTCCTCCATCTTCCACATTTTTCCCCCTCTGCGTCCCTCTCTCTCTCTCTCTCTGTGAAAGGAATAAGGAGGGGTGTGGGTGACCGCCGTATCCGCATGGCCACACAACTCGGTTTGCAAGAGGAGTGGTGCTGTTTTTTTTCTTTTTTTTGCCTCACTCTTCTGCCGTGCCCTGGCAGGCACGGCGGCTGCCACACCCAAAACTGTTCCTCCTTCTTTTCCCTCGCAAGGAGCGTTGCCGCAGTGGTGCATCCCTCCACGCCCGCACGGGCGTGCCCTTCTGCCTTCTTCCCCCACCTCTCTTCCGTTTCACGGCACCTTTGCTCTTTTTTTTATTTTTGCTCTTTTTTTTTCTTTGTGTGCGTACGCGTGCGCCTGCGTCACCGCCGCCTCTTTCCCCGCAGGATACCCGTCTTAGTGTGCGGTCAATACTAACAGTGCCGGCGCAAACTGTGCTTGTGGCTGCGACTGCCGCGAGCACTGAGGCGCCGCTTGGCCACTGGGGGGTGAAGGGCCGTGACGCACCACCCACCGCCCTCCGTAGACACCGCGCGCGCCGTATCGTCGATATTAACCCCGGTTACTGTTAGCCCCCCCCCCCCTTCTTTTCAGGGGCCGCCCTCTTCTTTTTTTTTTCTTTTCCCCCTGTAGCGCTCCGTTACCCTTCACTTCGCCCTCTGCGTCTGCTGGGGTCTGCCGCTGATGTCGGTCCCCCTCCACGAGTTGGGGCCGGAGGCGGTGTCGCGTCGACATCTGATCGACGAGGTGAAGCTGCAGCTCAGCATCGTGGGCGACGAGTTCGACTGCTGGATCTACGGCTTTTTGGAGAACAAGAAGTACAACGTCCAGGAGACGGTTGCCAAATTGCAGCGGCGCTTCTCGATGGAGGTGGATGAGCTGGCGAGGTACACCTTCACGGACTACATGCGCGAGTCGCTACGCTCTGGCATTATTCAGTGCGTGGGGGAGGACAAAGCGGGACGCACGGTCTTCTACGTCACGAGCAGGCGGGACCGCCCGGTGTCGTCGCGCCGAGTGGAAAACAGGCACACGTTTGACATGATGGTGAGCTACGGCACCCGCCTCCGCGCCGAAAGCAAGCGCTGCCAAATGGTGATGCTCATCAACCAGGAGAAGGCCAGCTTGTGGAGCAACATGGACATGACCTTTCAGGCGGAAATCGCCCTCCGCATTTCGAAGTTCTACCCGGGCGCCGTGGACAAGATGTACGTCTGCAACATGAACCGGACCCTGGCGGCGATGGCAAAACCCATCTTTTCGCGCCTCCCGGCGATTGTGTCGGACCGCATAATGATTATAACCGACGCCGAAATGAAGTCCGGGAAGCTGTTGGAGTACTTTGACGAGAGTGTCCTGCCGGTGGCGCTGGGCGGCACCAACGACTGTGATGACCAGGAGCACTGGGACGCATACGCCGCTTCGATCGAGGACTTCTACGCACAGTTGAAGGAGGCAGTGCTCTTCCGTGGCCTGTCGGTGAAGGAGTGGGAACTCTCGTGTCTCAAGGTGCCTCCTCCGACAAGTATGCTTGCGACACCAAGGTCCGATGCGTACAGCTTGCTCTCCCTCAGGACGTGCTGCTCCGGCCCAAGTGACGTGTATTACAGCAGCACCACTAAGACGGGCACAAGCGGCGAACAGTGCCTATTGGTAATTGAGTGGAAATCCGTCGTGCATTGTTTCCCACGGGGTTTAGGCCTGTTCTTTTTGGAGGAGCTGCGGCGGTGGCGTCTTGAGGTTGAATCGGACGAGACAGAGGCACGCTACAAAATCTTGGATGAGCACATAGCGGCCCGCAGGCTTCAGGGCGCGGCAGACCTGGAGATTAATCTGTCGGAAAAAAAGTGGTACACGCAAATCCCCGTGCAACTGCAGCTACTCTACCGGTTTTGTCTCTTGACCCTCACGGTTTTGAATGGTATCTACTTTTTCGCCGCCCTTGTCTTTCTTGCGGTTTTTGGTGGAAATATTGTTGCGACTCTCTTTTTTGGGTTCTTCGTGCAGTGGAATTATGTCTTCCCGCTCAGCGCGGCACTCGTCATGTCCGCCCTGCAGTGCTTCGTCGTGTGCTCACGCGCGGTGGACATTCTTGTTGCCCTCGCGCGCCGAAAAGTTATTCGGCCGTTCGACAACATTGGGTCGCATCTGGGCGGCATTGCGCAGATGTCCTTCTTTTTGGCAGTGGTGGTGCTGCAATTTGTCATTTTCTGCGTCTTCGCCGTGTGGCACTCCCCAATCTTCGGTCTGCAGGCCTCGTTTGCTGTCGGGTGGCTGTGCGCCGCCGCTCTCGTGGTGATTTGTCACGCGTTGTTCCTCTTTGACTGGCTGAATCCGCGACACCGGTTTAGCCGGGGAGGGCGGCTTTTGTGTCTCCCATGTTTTGTGCTGTGGAATACGCCGGAGGTGACGGAGGGGAAGGCGAACGCCTACACCCTGCGCACCTTCTCCTACGTCATCTGCGGCATTCCGGTGCTTCTGAGCCTACTGTTTGGCATCGGGTTTCTCATCAGCCGCGTCGTTGGGCTGGCGGTCGCGGTTTGCACAGCCGCCATCGTTGCCTCCTTCATAGTCACCTATTACGCGGATTCCATGTCGAACGCGCTCAGCGGCTGCCTGGTTCGAGCCGCCATATGGATTGCCAGCCTGGTGTGGGTGTTTGACTGCTACACCTTTGGCTTCCACGACTACAGCAACACGTGGTTTGTCCCGGTGCTCGTCTCGTCTTTCGTGGCCGCCTGGTACCTCCTCTTTTCCTTCATTTGCCTACGGCAGGACGAGTCTTGCGTCCTCCTCCGCGTGGCTATCGGGTCCCTCGGACTTTTGCTCTGTGCCACGTGGATCTCCACCTTTCCCGTTACTGGCTGGCGGATGGGCCTCTTCTGTACTTGCTTCCTGCTCCACAACGTGCTTGGGATGCTGTTTAACCGCTCTGACCGGACAAACATTGGCGGGGTGTTCGTTGCCTCGGCGGCGGTGCTGCTGATCATCATGGCCGGCACGCTGCTCGGCTGGCACGGCATGAATCCCTTCGTGACGTCCCCCCGCAGTCTTCCACGCGACGCTGCGGCCGCGCCCCTGACGCCGCTCGCCGAGTACCACCGCTACCCCGTCTGCAGCCTTCGCACGGCCGGCGGGCTCGCCATCACCGACTTTGCCCTCCTCACCCAGCTGGTCAACGCGTACCCCAGCGACGCCTTTTGGGTCGACTTTAGGAACTGGTTTAACACCACCGATTTCACGTACCGCGGCGTCGTTCTGGAGTTTTCCCCCGAGGCGGGAACGTGGGACCTCCACCGCTTCGACTCCGCCACGCACAACCAGACGGTGCTGGTGCTGAGCAACAAGGATGGCTTTTCCTCCATGCTGACGACGACCGCCTGGCTGGGCTCCATGGCCCTCGCGCCGCTGCACATCTTCCTCCCCACAGACTGGACGAACAGGATCGTCTACTACATGTCCTTCGTGACCCCAATGGTTGATTTCCAGTGGAGGCGATACCAGCGTCAGCTCGCGGAGTACCTGCGGCGCGCCAAAGCCGTGGAGACGAGGGAGCTGGTGCTGACAGGTAGCGGCATTGCGGGTGGAATTGCGTCCATGGCGGGCGCCCACGCACGTACCCAAACAATCGTCTTTGGGTCTCCCGGCTTGCTGCATCTTCTGCGTCTCACGGGCGTCTCGGAGGACGACTACCACCACTACGTCCTGGCTGTCGGTGCGGCCAACGGGGTGCTGGACAACGTCGGTGGCCAGGACATCACAGTGAAGCAGAAGCTGCGCTGTAGAGGAAACGCCATGAGATGTCTGTCGATGGAGTACATCTCCAGTGAACTACTCAGCAGCTGTGACACCTCTGGGCGACGACATGCCGTTTATTAAGGGCATTAGCGCAACACACTTTTATTCTTCTTTCAACGTCTGTGTGTTTCTTTTGTTGGTGTTGCTTCCTCCGCTCTTTATGTTACCTCAGTTATTTTCTTCTTTGGCAGCCTCCGCCGCCCAGCGCGAGGCGAAGGCAACACCAAAGGAATGACAGCTACTTCTCACCATGACTTTGTTGTGTGCGTAGTTGCGTTCTTTGGGGCTGTGCCGCAGAGGGCCACACAGCGATGCTTTTCCCCCCTCCCTCAATCAGTTTCTTGTCACCTGCCCCGCCTCTCTGCCTGCTGTCCTCCCCCCCACACTGTGAAGCACCCAAAGGTTCACCAATGTCGCACCCGACGCTGCTGGACATTGGTGTCACCGCCTACACCCACCAAGCGGAGGTGGATGAGCTGCGGCAGCGGCTGCACATAGCCCATCACTACTTTGACTGCTGGCTCTACGGCTTCCTAGAGAATAAAAAGTTTAACATTGAAGAGGCTGTGAGCAAGCTAGGTCGCCGCGAGACGTTTGAAAGGGAGCAGCTTGCAAAGAGCACCGTGACGGACTGGATGATGGAGAACATGCGCAAAGGCATCATGCAAATCATAGGAAACGACAAGGAGGGCCGCGTGGCATTCTACGTGGTTACCGCCAGGGATAAGCCAGTCGCCGCGAGGCGTGCAGAGAGTAAGGCGAACTTTGACATGATGGTGAGCTACGGCACCCGCCTCCGCGCCGAAAGCAAGCGCTGCCAAATGGTGATGCTCATCAACCAGGAGAAGGCCAGCTTGTGGAGCAACATGGACATGACCTTTCAGGCGGACATCGCCCTCCACATTTCGAAGTTCTACCCGGGCGTCGTGGACAAGATGTACGTCTGCAACATGAACCGGACCCTGGCGGCGATGGCAAAACCCATCTTTTCGCGCCTCCCGGCGATTGTGTCGGACCGCATAATGATTATAACCGACGCCGAAATGAAGTCCGGGAAGCTGTTGGAGTACTTTGACGAGAGTGTCCTGCCGGTGGCGCTGGGCGGCACCAACGACTGTGATCGCCCGGAGAACTACGCCAAGTTCGCCGTGAACGTCAGGGAACACTTTGAGCAATTGAAGTCCGCGGTGCTCTTCCGTGGCCTGTCGGTGAAGGAGTGGGAATTGGCGTCCCTTTTTCCACACGGGCTGCCGGAGAACGCGAACCTGCTTACTGAGCGGCGGGGAACCGATTCCCTAGTGTCCCCACCACGCCTGAACGCCGCGGAGGACTCACTCTGGAGTCACCGTCCACCCACCCCTAACTCGTTCATTGGCGTTGAATCGGTGGACCTGATCACGTGCGATTCTCTTGACGCGAACTGCTTTTCCGCACCGCAGGGCTGGCGTGAAGGGCGTCCCGTGGGAGAGCTGCTCTCCCTTAGGCACTCCTTTGCGACGAATAAAAGGAGCTTGGTGGACGACTACGTGGAGCAGTTTATGCTGTTGGAGACGTTTTTCCGCAGCAGCATTGTAGAGACCGCGGAGCGCGAGTGGCTGTCGATTTTGCAGCGCGAAGTTCCTGCCCGTCGCATGCTGCGCGCTGCGGAGCAAAATCTGTGGAAGGGTACACTTTTGTTCCAACGCCTACCCCTCCCAGTACAGCTGATTTCCAAGGGCGTACTCTGGCTGGCGCTGATGGTGATGTCAATGTACTTTCTTATTGCTACTATTTTTGGGACGCTGTTTCTCTGTTGCTTTATGAATACACTCTTCTTTTCGATGTTTATTGCCCCATACAACGTCTTCCCCTACGGATGCGCTCTGTTTGTGACGGGGTTCCAGTGCGTCCTCTTCTGCTCGCGTGGTATTGAGCTGCTGCGTCGCACCTACGAGGGTCAACTCATCGACGCCTTCAGGGCGATTGGTCCAAAAGGGCTGTTCTTGCAGGCAGTGGTGTGCGTTGCCGCTATGATTGCCTTTTTTGTGGTGTTCTGCGTCATGGCCGCACGCCACAACGTGGTTATTGGAATGCAGTACTCCGCTGGAAGCGGGTGGATGGTGACGCTGTGCATTATAGTTCTGTACCACTTTCTGTACGCATTTGGGGTGACAGGGTACCGCAGAAGCACGCGGCAGAGCGATGGTGGGGTCGCGACGCTGTATTTCTTCCTCGACGTGGACATGGACGCGAATCACAACGCCGTGCGAGAAGCGCCGACGATGGAGGTGGCCGTTGCGTGTGTTGTGGCGTTGGCGGCCTTTGCCTGTGGCCTTGCCTACATGCTGCACGGCGCCTTCTTCTTCCTTAGCGCGACTGTGGCGACGACTTCCCTCGTCGCTGTGCTTGCAGTCGTTTTCGTGAACGCTGGCCATAGTCACTCCACGGGCAGCTTGCTAATTGTCGCCGGGCTTCACTCCTGTTTCACATGGTTGGCGCTCGTCTTTACCTCCGCGGCGCACGGCTGGCGTGGGGATTGGGGCCGTTCCTCGGGCGCCCTCTTAGCCATAGCCCTGGCGACGGACACCGTTGTTATGATTTGCGCATTCATGCCACTGCGGAACCGGGTGGCGCGCCGTTGGATTTTCCGTGCGGCGTGGTTGTGGGTTGTTATGCAGTTCGCTGCCTTCCTCATTCTCGCATTTATCACTGACTACCGCCTGGGCATCATCACGCTGGCGTTTGGCCTGCACCTGATCTTGTACGGCCTGCGGGCGAGCTACGGCTCCAGCAACTACGGCGTGGTGTTCCCGGTTGCCGTCTTCGTCGCCGTGTTGCTCTACTGCATCGTGGGTGGGTGGGAGACGGCGCGTGCTCGCTACGACACGCCGGCTAGCCGGTGGCTGCTGCCAAACTACGCTCGGCGCGAGGCGGCTGGTTCTGCCTTCCTCACATACGAGCCGAATTCCGTCCCGTTGCTGCCGGTGTGTTGGGCTCGGTTTTCGCCCCACGTGGACATCGTCGGCATGGCGCTCTTTGCGAAGCTGTTGGACGCACACTCGATGAATGTCACGCTGACGGACCTCCACGTTTGGTTTCCCAACTTTACGTACGTCTTCAACTCTACCTTCTCCCCCCAGTCGTTCTTGCAGACGAAAGTTTTCGAGACGTCGTCCAACGGGCGCGCCACGACGATTGTCACCCTGGGCTCCAGCGAGCACATCTACCCTGTGATGGAGTCCATGACGATGTGGGTAAACGTGATGGCGTTCTCGCTGCTGTCACCCGTCACACCGTCGCAGTGGTTTATCCAGCTGATGTCGACGCTGACGGCAACGGAGAAGTTCTCCCCGCTGCTGTGGAAGGGCTCCATCGGCCAGGCCCGAAAGGAGTTGGTCCGCTACGTGGAATCCGTTGTGCGCCCAGGGCATGACGTGTTCCTTGTGGGGCACGGTCTCGCAGGCGCAGTCTCCGCATTTCTTGTCTCAGACATGCCAGAGGACGTGCGTGGTGTGACGTTTTCCTCGCCGCTGAACGCCATTGCGTGGCGTAGCGGCAGTCAGTGGATACCCGACGTGTTGCCGGGCCGCGTCTTGTCTATTGTGACTTCCTCCGCATGGCTTGCGGCGCATTGGATCTGGGGGGCGCTGGTGGAGACGATACCGTGCTGGTCCTCCGAGGGTGGGTGCCACAGCATTCAGTCGATGGCGCAGCGGCTCTGGGAGATTTGTCAACAAAGTGCAACACCGCCCAGTGATTAGAGGAAACCCATGGAAAGATTTTTGTTTTCACTTTGCTCTTTGTTGTTGTTGATCTTGTTGTTGTTGTTGTTCTTTGGTGCCCCACTGGCTCGAAGCATGAAAGCGCAAAATGATGAAGGCGATGAAAGCCAGCTGTACATGTGATTGGAATAGGATAACGGAACGTGTGCCGTGTTGCGCCGTAAAACGACGGTTTTTGAGGAAGAGACAAAGAGGGATGTGTCTGTCTGTATTTATGTGTCTCTGGCTGCCATTGCCGCCTCCGTCTGCATAAGTTTCCTCCATCGAGCCTTTGACTCCTTTTTTTTTCTGGTGGGTGGACGTTTTCCTTCACTATAGACATACATACACGTACATGCGTGCATCTCTCTCTCTCTGTGTGGATGCTGCCTGCTCGTTCCCCCTTTTCGCTGACCCTCCATCTGTCTATCTTTTGCTTTGCTCGAACCGCGTTAGTCCCACCGCAGGCAGCCAGCGTCGTTGGCTCCACACTTTGTTGTGTGGCGAACGCCTTGTTTCTCGCTTCGTTAGGCCGCCCCGCCGAGGAGGACGCATGCAGGACGAGAGGGGCGCGGAGGGTTGGCCCCGGGGCGTCCCGCTTTCCCTGCGCCTCCCGGAGCAGCCGGCAGTGGCGATGGACGGCGCTGACGCGCCCCCCCGCGACGCCACCGCCGCTCCCGCCCGAACGGCCGTGACGCCGGACGGCAACTCCGCGCGGGACGAGCGACGGGGGTTTGGCGGGGAACACCTCGAGGTGCCGTCGCTGCAGCGCCTCTCCCGCAACTTTGAATTTCTCTCCCGCGAGGTCAAGCGACTCTCAACGCGCGGAAGATCGGCGTCCCTGCCGTCAGGTGTGGCCCCGCCCGAGCAGCTGCAGCCCCTGAAGCTGCCGGTTATTCGCGAGTCCGCGGTGAAAAGTCCCGGTGCCACGCCGCGGGCCCGCAACCGGCCCCCGTTGACGCCCCGCAGGAGGGCGCCCGCGCGCCCCGTGGCGTCAACGGAGGAACGGCGTGTAGCCGCGTCACCCGCGGTGGCGTCGAGCGGAAACCTTTCAACGGAGAGGTGCGACGATGACGGGCCGCGTCGGCTGTCGGCGGGGGCGCGGGTGGCAACCCCCTCAGGGCGGACGCGAGGGGGCCGCATTCGTGTGGTCGTACGCAAGCGGCCCATGGCACCCGACGACACGGGGACGGATGCCGTGTCGGTGAACGCCCCGTGGGTGCACGTTTCCGTCAAGAAGCTGCGCGTTGACCTCACCGACTACGAGGAAGTGAATGACTTTATGTTTGACGACGCCTTTGGGGAGGACACGACGAACGCCCACTTATTCGAGGGCTGCAGCAGAGGCCTGATCGTCACCGCGCTCGAGGGCGGCAGCGCCTCCTGCTTTGCGTACGGCCAAACCGGCAGCGGCAAGACGCACACCATGCTGGGGAGTGACGAGGAAAAGGGGTTGTACCTCCTCGCAGCGGCGGAGTTGTTCGCGCGACTCCCGCCGGAGCACGAGGTGCGTGCCTCGCTGTACGAAATCTACCGCAACTCCCTCTTCGACCTGCTGAACGGTCGCCTCCCGGTCGTGCTGCGGGAGGACCACCACCACCGCATCAACATCTGCGGGCTGTCGTGGCACAACATCACCTCCGCGGAGGAGCTTTGGGCGCTCGTCGGGAGGGGCACCGACCAGCGCAGCACCGGAAGCACGAGCGCGAATGAGCGCTCTAGTCGCTCCCACGCCGTCCTGACAATTCGCGTCCTGCATCGCCGTGACGCGTCGTTTTGCGGGACGCTGAACTTCGTGGACCTCGCCGGCAGCGAGCGGGCCTCGGACACGGCGGCGCAAGACAGGCAGACACGCCAGGAGGGGGCGGAGATCAACAAGTCGCTGCTGGCGCTGAAGGAGTGCATCCGGGCGCTCGATGAGAAGAAGAAGCATGTGCCGTTCCGCGGCTCAAAACTGACGGAGATACTTCGTGACAGCTTTTCTAGGAACAGCCGGACCGTGATGATAGCGAACATCTCTGCCTCCTCCTGCAACTACGAGCACACGGTGAATACGCTGCGGTACGCCTTCCGCGTCAAAGGCCTCAGCGTCGCCAGTGTTGTGCCGAGCAAGGCGCGCAATGCGCCGCGGCCGATGCGTCAGGCCGTCCCTGACATCGCAGCGCTGCTGAATCCCACCAACGGCACAGCGGAGGAGGCGCTGACGCAACGGGCAACCACGCCACTGCGGTGTAGAACGCGTCCGCGCGGGTTGGGCCCCCACGCGTCTGGGCGTCGCTGCCTCACACCAAGTGCGAACCAGCCCAACGGCCACAGCAGCAACTTGATTGGCTTACCGCGTAATGGAATGCTCGACACGGATGAGGACAACCTCCACGTGAAACTCCGTGCGTTGGCGCACGAAAAGGTGTTGAGTTTGGCCCGGCCGGCCAACTTGGGGGGGACGCTGCCGAATAAAGGTGGCACCAGCACACCATGCAGCGCCGACGCCTTGGAGAGCCCGAGTGCTTCGCCGAAGGAGGAGCAGCAGCAGGTTCTGGATATAGTCAATCAGGTAGTGGAGAAGTTGAAACTTGAGATGGAGTCTTCACTTAAGAAGGCCGTACAGCGGCGTAATCGACTTATCTGGAGGCTTCGCAGTGAAAACGCCGCACTGCGGGCAAGCATTGCCACACTGGAGAAGAGGGCGGAAGAGTGCAAGTATTGCAGACGACAATTGGGAGCATCACCGGCAGCGCCCATCACATTATGACCGACAAATACGTCTTCTAGTAGAGCTATATCTATGTATATACATAGATATATGCCTGTTCCATTTTTCTTCGCGACTTTACATCCTTGAACCACTTGGTGTTTTTTGGAGGCCTGATTTTCCCCCCCCCCCCCCGTTGCGAATGTTTTTCTCCGCATCAGACATCGTATTTTTCTTCTCTTCCTTGTGTGTGCCTCCGTGCCTCGTTATTGCGCCTCTGCGTGCGTGGCGGCCACGGGCTTGCGTTGGTCCGCGGTGGACGTCCACGTCTCCCCTTCGTCGTTGCCTCGTCTCGGTTTGACGCGTGTTTGGCGGGGCGGGTCGTCGGGCCGCCGCCACTCCCCGACGGCGGCGGAAGTGAGATGAAACTGAGACGAGGGCTGGTGGGCGGCTGCGGCAATGGCCCCGTGATTGTGATGCCTTTTGGAAGGAAACTTGTGTGGCGCCATTTTTTTTATTTTGTAGCGTTGAGCCGCCTCCTGCAGGGATGCACGGGACCACGAACATTGAGGCGTGCGCGTAACACACACGCACACAGACGGACAGACAGACGTAACTCTCATTCTCTTTCTCTTTCTCTTTGTGTGTGTGTGTGGCTGTATATGGATGTGCAGAAGTATATATATATATATATATATTTAAGGGTAGGTGCGCCTACCCCATGCCTCAATGCAATGGGTGCTGCGTGTGTGGGGGAAGTTGTGCGACGTTGGAAGGCCCCTGAGCCTCGGTGCGCCATAGCCCCACCTTCGAACTGGGGTCTTCCCAGCAGTGGGAGGCAGGCGTCCGCCAGGGCGGGAATAGATCCGCGGAGCACTGAGGGAACAGAAGTGAACAAGTTTGTATGAGTTTGTTCTTGCGGGGCGGTGGGGGATTTGTGCGGTGTAGGAAGGAGTTTTTTTTTTGTTTTGTGTGTAGTTGGCACGCCTCGCCCCTGCCTACGGATGCTGCACCTTGCGGAAGCGTGTAGAGGCAGACGTCTCGCCCCGATGCCGAGCTTCGCCTGCAAACGTGTCGTCTTCCGCCCCCCACGAAGAGGAGGAGCTGGCAGGTGGGGCTTTCTGCGGCAGACGGCCATTGTTTTTCTTTGCTCTCCGCCCCCCAGCGGAGAGGAGAGGAGCGGGGCGTGTGACTGTACGCGAGACTCGGTCGTTGTCTTCTCCCTCCTGGCAAGAGAGGGGGATGCCGGCGTTGGAATGCCTTTTTTTTCTTTGTTTTGTCTTGTTTTCATTCTCCTTCCTTTTTTCTTCGTTTGCCACATCCAGCTTGGGCCCGCGCAGCGGCGGTGCCGAGCTGCTTTTTATTTGCTTGCCACACTCGTCCCTGCCTGCCTGCGGGCGGGGGAGAAACAGGGCGAGGAGGGCGCCACGGGCATTTGTGTTATATTTTTTGTGCACCTGCATCTTCTGCCCTCCGTGGATTCCTCGCCCTCCTTCTCCCGCCTTTTTGTTTTCTTCTTACTGCGGGGGCTGCTGCGTGGCCTCGCAGTGCCGCAATGAAGGGCGGAGGCTTCGAGAAGGATGAGTGGCTGGTGAGGCTGCAGCTCTTCCTCGACGTGCGGCTGCGGACCGTGCCGTTTCACGTGGCGTCCCGCAGCCGCCCCGGCGTCGCTGTCCCCCTGCCGATTCCCAACACGCAGTACCTCATCGACGGTGTCATGTGGAGCGTGCGCGACCACGCGGCGTGGACGCCGGACGCCTGGCTGACGATTCAAAACCACCTGCACAGCTGCTCGCAGCGCCACACCCAGCTGGTGGAGCGGCTGTCGCAGGCGCACGCGCCTGCAAATCTGCAGGATGGCGCGGAGGTGGAGCGTGAGCGGCTCTACTCCAGCCACGCGTGTGTGCAGGACCTCTACGTCGCCTTCTGCGTGGTAGACGCCTTCCTGCGCCACGCCGCGGAGGAGTCGCGGACGACGGCGCGAGAGGCAGTCGAGAAGGAGCTGCCGCGGCTTGTGGCAGACCATGCGCCCATCTGGCTGCCCGCGCGCAGCCAATACACGCACGATGCCGTTGAGGACTACCGGTTGCTTTTTCTCGACTTGCTGCGCTCGTGGGCGGTGACGAAGCTGCTGCGTCCCGACACGCACCGTCGCATTGAAGAGTATGTGCGGTACAAACTGAAAACGCTACGTGACAGCGCCGCCGCCCACGAGGGCAAAGATGGCGTTGAGCACCGCCCGTCAGGGGCCATCAGCGCCGGGCTGCGCGTGCTGCTCGCTGGAACAGGGCCGTCGCACTCCTCGGCGCCTGCGCTGTCGGCGTCGTCCACGTCGGCCCCCGCCACCATTGATGTCGTGCGCAGGAACATGCGAGAGTTTGTCGTTGCCATCTTTCCCTCTCACCGTTCCGACGCCGGGAAGAAGCGCTGCGCCCACTGCGGTGCCGTGTTCAAGACGCTCGCCGCGAAGAGTGCGCACTACCGCTACCACTTCTACAACCGCAGTTACCTGACGGGGGAGAAGATTGTGCGCCTGCCGTACCCCACGCTTCAGGACTACGTCGCCCACGAGGTGGGCCCTCGCGTCACCGGCGACTTTGTCCGGGTCACGGAGGATCTCTTGGACGTCCTCCGCGTGCCGGACAAGCGGGTGGTGCACGTGCGGAAAGAGAAGCATGCAAAAAAGCCCTCGTGAGGGAGGCTCTGTGTGTCTGTGCGCCGTTGCCCTGCCCTGTGTGGCAGCCCCGTTCAATAAACAAACAAAGCGGGAGTGGATTTATTCCCTCTCGCTGATTCTCTGCGGTGGCCTCATTGTGTCTCCGGTTCCGGGTTGTGCGGCTTCCTCGGCGTATGCGAGGGTGTTCATCGCTTTTCAAACTTCCTCGCTTGCCCCCTCCTTTCTTTTTTGTTTTGTTTTTTGCATTCCCGCATTCACATGAATCGCCTGTTTTGTGCGTGCGTCCGAGCCACACGCATGAGCGATGCGGCGAACCCTCGCAGCGAAGCGCAGCGCGCGTGCCGTGCTTGGACTAGATGAACGGCTACACTACTCCGCGGCGGAGGTAAAGGCGGCGTACCGTCGGCAAGTCAAATTTTTGCACCCCGATGCAGGCGGTAGTGCGGAGCGTTTTCGCGAGCTGCACGACGCGTACTCTTCGTTGTGCGGAGCTCGCAAGGCCACCGACGCGGCGTCCGAGGGGTGCGACGGGACTCCGTTTTACAACAACGCCCATTCTCGGTGGTGCAGTGGCCGGTACGAGGAGGGCAGCTGTGGTGCGGCGTTTGCGCGCGGCGCCTTCAGCGGTGACTCCCGTAGTGGCGACGCGGACTTTGGGGCGGGGTGGGACGGCGACAGGCGATACGCAAACCGCTCGACCCGCGACTTCTACCGCCCGTACACCTCCAACCCCTTTGCCCATGGCTACACCGACGCGGAGGTGGCCGCGGCGGGGCGACGGAATCGGTGGCGGGTGGCGTGGGCGGCGCTGAAGCACGGGCTTCTCTGGGGCGGCCTGGCGTACCTCCTCTTCGTGTGCTGGCGCGAGAACCGCGTGGGGCGCGCCATCGAGGCCCGCAAAGACGGCTACGTGGACCCGGCGTACTGGGAGAAGCTGCGGGGGGACGAGCGGCGTGGGTTTCCCCCGCTGGTGCAACAGCACTGGACGGATGTGCACAATGAGGAGTTTAGGCTGGCATGGAACAAGCGCCTTGAGGAGCAGCGGCGGCGGGGATCGCCGCTCGGGGGCGGAGGCGGCTACGCAGGCCGCCCGGTGGCAGTGACGTTTCAGGGCCGCCCGTTCACGGCAACGGGGGTCCGCGGCGCCCGCAGCGGCGTCCCGAAGACCGCGGCGACGTACGAGAGCGACGAGCACTGCGAGCTGGACGACGTGGAGCGTGACTGAAGCCCGCCCGTGCAAAACCACAACACTTGGGAGTTGTCCGTGTGGGTGTGTGGTGGGGGAACACTCCCCATCAACGAAGAAAAGTTAGTAGTTTTATGGTTTACTTCGACAGGGAAGTTTTTATTTTTATTTTTGTTAGTGCGTGTGTGTTTTTTTTTCCCCCGAGAGTCAAAGTGGGCGGGTGCCGTTTATTTCTCCTCAACAACTTGTGGCTGCCACCTCTGCGGCCCCCGCCGCGTCTGTGGCTTCTTTCATTTTGTGCCCGGCTCCTCTGCTCGCCGCGTGGGGCGCGTCTGTGCGTCGGGGAGCAGCGGGCGAACTTCGCCGCCGCCCCGATTTTCCACCTCCTTTTTGCCTCTTTTTCCACGTGCGCCTCGCCCCTCCCCGCCCGAGCAGGTAATAATAACCACAGCAGGTCTAGTTTATATATACTCCGGCGCAAGCAGGCCGCGCCCCCGCACGAAGCAACTGGTCCACGCATCCGTCAACGCTTTCGGCGACAGTTGTGGGGGATATGACCCGGAAGGTGGGCGCGCAGGTTACACGCTTCCTCCAGGAGAATGCCACGACGCCCGAGAACAGGAAGAACGAGGAGAAGTGGTCGTCCAGCGAGGGCGGCAGCGTGCTAAGCTGGCTGGCGCAACGCGCCCCACAGCAGCCGTCGCGAGGGGCGATTGACTACCTCAGCAAGGCCCGCCCCTCCGAGCCTCCACCGGCCGGGGCCCAGACCTCCCTGCCAAAGCCCCGCTCTCAGCAGCAGCGGGAACAGCAGCAGCAGCAGCAGGCCCGACCGCAGCAGCAGGCCCAACCGCAGCAGCAGGCCCAACCGCAGCCCGCCACGGGGCCTACCGCGAAGGCTACGCGTGTGTTGCCCGCAGCCGTGCTGGGGGGCCAAGTTGTCCGGCAGGTGAAGGTGGGCGATACGATCATCGTCCCCGGCGAGACATTCCCGGCGGGGAGCCAGCGTGAACAGCTGCAGCCTCCGCAGCCGCAAGTAACCTCAAGCGAAAGGAGCTACCGGGGCCGCAGTCGCCGCGAGACAAAGGAAGAGCGCCTCAAGCGGCGCTTTGAAAAGATGGCAGCAGAGGCGCAAAAGCGGCACGAGGAGGCGCTTCGGGTGGACCCCGAGTACCAGAAAAAGTATCAAACCTATCAGGAACTCCAGGCGGCCCAGCAGAAGGCGCAGGCGGGTTTTCTCGAGCAGTACTCGCATCAGGAGCAGGTGAACCTTAACAACGCGGTCGTTGAGCGCCTGGACATCCCTGTCATACTGGAGCTTATTGAGCAGCACGACGTCGTCTTCATCTGCACGGACACAGGGAGTGGCAAGAGCACGCTGGTCCCGAAGGCACTGCTGGAGCTGTCGCAAAACACGCGGGTGGTAATCACCCAGCCGCGCCGCACAGCCACCATTTCCATCGCCTCGAGGGTCGCCGCTCTGCGTCGCGAAAACGTTGGCGAGGACGTTGGGTATTGGATCCGTGGCGACAGGCGCGGCGACGATCAGACGCGGCTGTGGTACATGACTAGCTACACGCTTCTTTTACACCTGCTGAATAACCCGCTGAACCCTCCCTTCACGCACATTGTTCTGGACGAGTTCCACGAGCGACAGCCGGACATTGAGGTGACCGTGGCCCTGCTGCGCCTTTGCCTCTTGAACCGAACGGCAAACTTCAAACTCATCCTCATGAGCGCCACACTTAACACCGAGGACTGGGAGGAGTACTTCACGGGACTCAAGGTGGCAACGTACAAGCAAAGCGAGCCGGAGCACCCAATTCATGACTACTTCATGGAAGACGTCTGCGCCTTGACCGGAATGCAGTATACTGAGCCGCCGAATATCCTCAAACGTAACGTGGGCTTTGCGCTGCTAGAGGAGCACATGACCATTGCGCAAAACCTCATCCTCTACCTTAACCTCTGCGCCGACCCGCAACACGCCGTGTTGGTCTTCTTGCCGGGCTACGCGCAGGTGGAGCAGTTTCAGCTCTGGCTCGAGCGAAGTATGCCCAAACCCGTCGATGTTGTGCCGTGGCACAGTTCTGTTGAACTTTCCGTCATTGAGGACGCCATCCGCCGTCGGGGGTCGTATCGGCAGAAGATTTACCTGGCGACGGATATTGCGGAGGTCTCCATCACGCTGCCGGATGTTGTCTTTGTGATTGACCTGGTGCTGGTGAAGCGTCCGAAGATCAACCGGGACGATCCCGCCACCGTGCTGCACCCGCCGCTGATGATGCAGTGGATTTCAAAGGGAAGCGTGGCGCAGCGGCGCGGTCGCATTGGGCGGGTGCAGCAAGGCTTCTACTTTTGCCTGCTGCCTTTTTCCGCCGTTGCGTCCCTTCCCGATCACGCCAACCCACCCATTGAAAACACCCGCATTGACGAGCTCTCCCTGCACTGCCTGCAACTTGTGTCGAACCCGGTGGCGATATTTAGCATATGCCACGGGCAACCGCTTCTGGAGACCATCGCCGTCTCCATGGACACATTGTCGCATCTGGGCTGCATTATTAACAAGAAGGACCCGCTGGCAGCGGGCGAGCGCATCTCCGAAATCCACTCCAACAGCCAGTGGAGCCCGCTGGTGCTCGAGGCGGCGAAGAACGTCGTCCTCGCCGAAATCGATCAGTACGAGTACACCTTCATTGGCCGCATCCTGCAGCTCATCCCGGTCTCTCCGCAGGCTGGCATGCTGGTCTTCTACGGTATTTTAACGGGGCTGGAGTCACTCATGATATTGGCGGCGGCGGTCACAAGCAGCCATTTGCCGTTTGCACCGAACCCGCAGGAGCAGCGGCGGCGCAAGCGTGACAGGCTTCCGCAGGCCATGGCGGAGACGGAGAACGTCATGCGTGACATGTGCTGTGGCCTGCGCAGCGACATTGTGGCGGTCATGAAGGCGGTTCTTAGCTTTCGCGTCTGCGTCGGCGAGAGCGGCGACGATGCCGCGCGCGTGCGTCAGTGGTGCCTTGACCGCCACCTCAGCCAGGACAAGCTGAGGAGCATTCTGGACCTTGAGCAGCACATCAAGTATGAGCTGGCCAGCTTCATTCCCTTCCGCGACATCGTGGACGCGCGGGAGCTGCTTGTGCAGCTCGAGAAGGCGGCGCCGATTGTGCTGGTCATGTCGAACGTCGCCTTCGCCTCCCAGTCGCTGGAGGTGACGGTGGAGGGCAACACCTACACAAACTCCGTGGAGACGGCGGTGGGCGTCTTCACCGACGTCACCGCGGTGCCGGACCTTCGCTCGCCGAGCTGCCTGCGCTGGCAGGCGGGCGACATCGTCGTTCCGGTGCAGCTCTCGTGCCTCGGCAACCGCATGCTCGCCAGCTTCGCGACCGCCATTGCGTCGCACAAGCAGTTTTGGCTCTCGCTGCTCCTCCTCACCCACCGGATCCACTACGCGGCCTTCGCCGACGACGAAGGCGCCTTTTACGTCTTCGCCGTGAAGTACCACAACACCGCGCGCTACGTGGAGACGGACGCGCAGACCGGGCACGCCGTGCTGCACTTCCGCCGGCTGCTCACGCCGGCGTGCCAGACCCTGCGGCTGCAGCATGACCACCAGGAGATGTACGACGACGAGTTCGCGGCGCTGCTGCGCCGCTACGGGCTGAAGCCCCTGTTGGAGGCGCAGCGGGACGTCATCACGACGATGGCGGCCTTCCTAAACAACACGGAGCACCTCACCGTCGACGAGGTGGAGCACGACGAGGACGACCTCGACGAGGTCTCCATAATAACTCTCGCGCTTCCGCAGCAGAAGGACGACTGACGGCGCACTAACTATCTTGCAACGAGGCAAGGCGCGCAGTCACAAGCGCGCGAAGAGCAAAGCGGAAAGTAACGAAGAGAGGAAAGCAAAAGAAGAATGAAAGAAAAATAAAGAGAAGGAAACGCAAAAAAACAAAAACAAAGGAAGAAACAGACGCGTGGGCGCGCGGACGGACTCAGGCAGAGACGCCAGCCTCTGGCGCGTGCCGTTTCTGGGTTTGCTGCTGGAACCATTTTAACGTGAGACGTGGGCGCCGCTTGCCACGGCGTCAACGTGCGCGCGCCCCCCGCACAGCCGCAAACACGCGTCGTGTTCTCTGTGTGCCTTGGGGTTGCTGCGTGTGGGGTGAGCCAACGTCCCTCCCCACACCTTTTTTTTCCCCTTCCTCCTCCTCCTCCTCCTCTCCTCTTGCGCTTTTTTATCTCTGCCTCGGTGCCGTTGTGCTGTGCACATTTACTTTAGTTGCACTGAGCGGGCGGGGGTGGGACGGGAGGCGCCGCGTTCCTGCCGTGATGTCCACAGGAAGGAAGAGGCCACGTGGAGAGGTGGGATCGCCAGCCGGCGATGGATCCCCGCGCGGACGACACGACGCCTTCTTCGCCTGGCTTCTCGGGACAACGCAGCGGGAATTCTTTCGGCACTACTTTGAAAAGAAGCCGCTGCACTTTTCGCACGGGGCGGCGACGCACTTCACTGAGCCCCACGCTGCACTGCCGGCAGTGAGGTGGTCAACGGAGCTCATGCTTCGGCTCGCCGCCGAGAAGTCGCTGTCGCACGCAACAGACGTTAGCGTTGTCCGTTTTGACGCGGCGCATAAGAAGCGCATTTCGTTTCGCTCGCAGGGCACCGTGACGGAAGAAGAGATGCGGTGCTGCATGCGGAAGGGATGGTCCGTGCGGTTCTTGCGTCCACAGGAATACGTGGCCGAGAACTCCGCGGTGCTCGTGCTTCTGGAGGAAATATTTGGCTGCTTCTGCGGGCTGAACAGCTACTGGACGCCGGCAAACAGTCAAGGGTTTGCGCCGCACTACGACGATGTGGATGTCTTTCTGCTGCAGCTCGAAGGGGAGAAGGAGTGGCGCCTGTACGACCCTCCCGCGACGGTGGATGTTCTCAGTCGACATTCCAGCGAGGACTACGCCCCCGAGCAGCTTCCAAAGCCAAAGCAGACGCTTCGCCTCGTTGCCGGTGACGTGCTTTACATGCCCCGTGGCACGGTGCATCAGGGGCGGACGTACAGCCACGCCCACTCGCTGCATGTCACCTTCTCGGCGAATCAAATGAATGCGTGGGCGGACCTGATGAAACACGCCGTCACCCACGTTGTGGAGAAGTTGGCGGCAAACCAAATTCACTGGCGGCGGTCGCTTTCACGATTACTGCCGAAGGCAATGGGCGCCGTGCACCACCCGGTGCTTCGCGCAGAGGCTGGCCTCCCTCCGCTGACGGAACAGCGACAAAAGCGCCGTCGCAGGCTGCAGTCGACGTTCCAACAAATGGCGGCCGACGTCTTCCACCACCTGTGCAGCGAAGAGGTCATGGACGAGTGCTGTGACATGTACGTGCGAGAAACTGTGGCGAAGCAGCAGCCTTTGCCACCTTCTTCCGTCTGCGGCGCACAACGCAAGGCTCCCGTCGGCATCAACTCGATTGTACGTCCCCGCGCTCCCCATTGTGCAAGGCTGGTGCTTGCCTTTGCAGGGGAGGCGCGCGTATACCACTGCTGTGGCAACTCGCCTGTATGCCTCGCCGCGCCGGAGGGTTTGCTGCGTTTTGAAGCGGACTTTGCCCCTGCCATCGCAACCATCTTGGCGGCTCCTGAGCGTGGCGTGCGCGTGTCTGACTTGCCGTTCACTGCGTTCGACAAAGTGGACGACGTTCGTGCGAATCAACTCACGCTGGTGGAGGCCCTGCGCGATGCAGGCATCCTCGCTGTCCTGTAGTTCACCACAAACTGCTCCCCCCCTCCCCAACTCCCCCAACTCCCTTCATACACACACACACACACACACGGAGACACGAGCACCACGTTCCCTCCGCCGGTCTCCTTTTTTTTCCCCCATCGTGTGTCTCCTGGGGTTAAGCCGATGATCCGCACGCCCGCCGCGGCCGTGGCACACCCCCGTTGCCCACCCAGTGGCGAAGTGAAGCAGCAACCCAGGCAGCAGATAGTGAGGGACTGTGGTTGAGCGGGCGGGGGAGGGGGCATTACGAACCGTACACCTCCCTTGCGCGGTCACGCAGGAGGAACGCTGTGCGGTACTCTCTTCCCCGCCATTGCCGAGAGGAGCAACAGCAACAAACAAAAGGGATGCGGCGAGGAGAAGAAATCTATAAAGTAGCACAGACACTGGCGCTAAAAGAATAAAAGTAGGTGAAATAAAACGCATTACAGGAGGTTTGTACGTTGTGCCTCTACTACGAGTGTTTTTTTTTCGTTCTTCGCCCCCTGCCTGGAGGTGCGTTGCAAGGCAGAGCCTTTAGACCCCGAGGGGAAGACGCGATGCCACTCTTCAGAAGCATTTCTTTCACAGATTCTCATTGACAACATCGTGTCTTTCTCTAGGCGATTGCAGAGTTGGGTGAACTAGCGGCAGCAGCCTTGCTTCCTCACACCCGGCACTTTGATTAGGCTTTACGGTGTCTGGCCTGTATTCGTGGCGAACCACACTGTGTTGCTTGCATTCTTACATGATCTTCCATCAGCCTCTTACTTCTTATATATGCATATTTTTGCTTCTTGGTGTGCGTTGCATCTCGTATTTTTCTTTCCTTCTTCTTTTTCCTGGGGGTGCCGTTCTTCTGCCCTCATGCTCCCCGCTGTTTGCCTCCTCCCAATGTGTCTCCCGGGCTCCAGAATCGTTATGAACGTTGACGTCATCGATGCGACGGCGGAGGCGCTCCCGCTGGAGCTGTTGAACGCAACGAACAAGGAGCTGACGGCGCAGCTGTCGCGGCACGAGCAGCTGTGCGATGAGAAGATACGTGCGATAGAGGACCTGCGGAGGCGGCTGCAGTTCATGAAGGAGCACCTCAGCAACGTGCGTGGGGAGATCGTGAGCACCCAGAGCCTGGTGGAGTGCAAGCGGCGCGAGGTGGAGTCCGGAACGCACATGTACCGCCTCCTCGACCGCGAGTGCGGGCGGCTGAGGCAGGGGCA